GAGGTGGCTAGGGAGGGGAAGAGGTGGTGGTGGAGGAGGAGCTCGTGGAGGAGGGGGGGGGAGGAGGTGGAGGTGAGAGAGAAGTGGGGGCAGGGAGCTGGGGTATGCAGCAGGCAGGATTGGGGGCAGGCAGCTGGTGTAGGATGGGGGGAGGGGCGAGGGACAGGAGCTTGTGGAGGGGGGCGAGGAGGGGCGAGAAGACCCGGATGAAGATGGGGACGGGAAGGTCGAGGATATCCCTCCCTTTCACCCCTCCCCCCCAATTCGTCGCTCCCTCCCCTCCTCGCGCCATCCTCCCTATCCGTCTCCCAGCTTCCGTTCCTGATTCTGCTCCTGTTCCTCCTCCTCCTTCTTCTTCTTTTTCTCCGCCTCATCCTCCCCCCTCTCCTCCTCCTCCTCCTCCTCCCTCCTCCTCCTCCTCCTCCTCCTCCTCCTCTCCTCCTCCTCCTCCTCCTTCTCCTCCTCCTCCTCCCCTCCTCCTCTCCTCCTCCTCCTCCTCATGATTCCGCTCTCCTCCCCTCCTCCTCCTCCTCCTCCTCCTCCTCCTCCCCTCCTCCTCCTCCTCCTCCTCCTCCTCCTCCTCCTCCGCCTCCTCCTCCTCCTCCTCCTCCTCCTCCTTGTTTGCGCTGCACCAGCGCAGACCTGCGAGACCCGTCGCGACAACTAATATGCTGGCCACAGCAAAAAAACAGTAAGGTTCCGACCTCCTCCTCCTCCTCCTCCTCGTGGGTCCTGAGCCCTGAGAGGCAGAAGGGTCGTCCAGTCCTCCTCCACCTCAATTCCATCTTGCTCCACCTCCTATCCCATCCTCTCCCCGTCCCCCTCTTCCTCGTCATCGTCGTCGTCCTCCTCCTCCTCCTCCTACGCCTCTTCCTCCTCCACCTCCTCTTCCTCCTCCATCCCCCCCTCCCTTTTCCTCTTCTGCCTCCCCGCACCGCCGCCTTCCTCCATTCCCCCCTCCCACACGCCCCCCTCCCCAGGCCCCCATGTTTCGCCTCTGTGGCGCTTGATCTCTTGGATGGCGTCGGATAGCGCGGGATATCGGATAGCGTTCGACGGCCTCCCCGGCAGCGTCGGCCAACGTTCCGCGACAGGTCCAGGAACCTGCGCCGAGACTGCTTTACCCTGCGGTCGTTGCCGTGGTGGCTGGGCCGACGGCTGTGGCCGCGGTCGCGACGGCACCCGCGGTCGCGGTATCAGTCGTTGTCGCGTTCACATCCGTGGGCGCGGCGTTAAACTCGCGCCTGGCACGCGCATGGCTGCGGTAGGCGCGGTGGCCAGGGTCGCAGCCACGGACCGCACCCGCAGGCCGAGGCTGCCGCCCGGGTGGCTGCAACGATCAAGCCACAATCCGGCGTAGCAACACTTGCGGTCGCACGGGCGTTCCCCATGCCGTCCAGCGGCGGAACCCCAGGACAATGTCGAGCGTGTGTGTACCTTCCTAGTGATTGGTAGGCGTTGGCCGTCCAGACCTTTGCAGAAGCAGGGAGGATGAGGATGAGCGAGCCGACGTTATCGAGCGTCATGAGGACGATAGCCAACGCTAGCCGCTAGCCGACACTATCAAAACGCTATCGGGTGGAGTTCGTAAGAACTCCTGGGTACCGAGCAAATGACATCCTGTTCCACCCGTGAACATGTAGATAACATTCATACCGTCCGACAACGCCTGATATCATTCCGTCCGAATCGCTCTCCAGAAGGGTACATTTGCCTAGGTCGATTTGGCCCAGGAGTTTGGTTCCGCGAGGTTCGTTCTGAAAGACTGCGACAACAAGGTCTTGAAAGTGACCGACGTCTCGTCAATTCGTGGAGGCGGGACAGCCCGCAAGAACGCTACAAATACGCGGAAGGCCGGAACAAATAGAACGGAATGACGTGTTAGCAGCCCGCCCCCTCGGCCCTCCCCAGAGGAGCAAAAAACTGCATACGTGAACATAAACTGTTGGAGGTCCGCGCGAACTTCTTGAATCTGCGCTGGACCCCCTGGCGCGCGGGGCGCCCTAATCAGGGGCGGCGCCGGAGGCGCCGCCAGGGGGGCTCAGCGCCGATGCAAGACAAATCCGCACGGACCTCCAAAAGCTTCTGCCCATGCAGTGTTTTGTTCTTCGACTCCCCCCCCAAGCATGCGACGCCCGTACCTTTTCAATACGCACTTCCCGGAAGTCCCAACCCTTTCCCTGGGACCTGCTTCTCATCTCGAGTCGTTGTTCGACGGTCCTGGGACCTAGTAAGGGCCCCATGGGCCGAACACGACGGAAAACGCCCATCTGGTGGTTTTTTATAAACAAGCCTTTCTTTCAGAAGAATTACTCCGACGGAACAGACCCCACATGAGAACTTATAAAGCTTGCCCCTCGCCCTTTTCTTCTCCGACTGGCGGAGGCCTTCCTTCCGCCTTCTGCGTCTTCATGAAACTTCTGCCTGAGCGTTCCTCACAACTCACTCACAGACGAGGCTCCCACCGGCGACGTCCTCCATATGCAAGCTTGAAAAGGCCGAAAGCGATTACAGTTACAAGATTCCGATGACCCGTTCGGATTAGTAACATGATCTGCGGGAACCATTGGGAGGGGGCTCCCGCCTGAGACTTCCTTGCAAGTCACTCACAAAGAGGCTCCCGCCTGATACTTCCTCAAGTCAGGATGTGAGTGAGTGAGTGAGCGAGTGGTTGAATGAATGAGCGAGTGAGTTGAGTGAATGAGAGTGATCGAGGGAGTGTGAGTGACTGTGAAAGTGATGATGTGGTGGTAATGATGGTGATGATGGTGATGGTGATGGTGATGGTGATGGTGATGGTGATGATGATGATGATGATGAGGAGGAGGAGGAGGAGGAGGAGGAAGAGGAGGAGGAGGATGTGCGAGCGTGTGCGAGCGAGCAGGGAAGGGGGTGTCCTTGTTCCTGCGCGGTGTGCGCGCAGAGAACGCAAAAAAAAAGCCCCCTTTGGATGTGAATGCGTGGGGGGGGGGGGCGAGCGGCGCGAGCACGCCTGGGCCCCCCATCTCGGGGGGAGGGCCGCTGGAGACGACGGCGGCCCTCCCGCCCGGCCCGGGCCCGCTCGGAGGCCGCTCCCCGAGAGCCCCGGCCCCTCCCCGGGGCCCGGCCGGGCCCCCCCGCCCGTCGCGGCGGGCCCGGCCGTGGCGGCGAGGCGCCGCGCCCAAGAGGCCCAGCCGGGGAGGGCTGCCGCGGTCTCGGCGGGCCATCCTCGCACCTGGAGGGGCCCAGGGCTGCGCGCGCGCGCAAGTACACACACAGATCCGAGGATTCCTCAGATCTTCGCGTTGTCCCTGGACGTTCGTCGTCCCCCCACTGCTCATGTCCCCCAACATGGTCACGGAAAACGACGCTCCTGTGTGCCTGCCTGTTTTTTTTTTGTCCAGGCATGTTGTGTTGAGTTGGGTCCTCGTTTTGAAGAGACACTCCTCGCATCTCCTCCTCCTCTCCTCTCCTCTCCTCTCCTCCCCCTCCTCCCTCCTCCCGAACCCCCTTCACACTGGCCAGCCCCTCAGACGTTTCGTGGCCCCACAGGGAGCTACGCCGAAGGCCCCAATGGCATGGTTCGCATGCCGCCCACCCTACTTCGGCACACCCCTCACACGCTACGCGGCGTCATAGGGAGCTTCATCGAAGGCCACAGCGGCATGGTCCACCTCCGCTTCGGCACACCGCTCACACGCTTCGAGGCAACTCAGCGAGCTCCACCGAAGGCCCCAGTGGCATAGTTCGCATGCCGCCCCCCTCCACTTCGGCACACCCCTCACACGCTTCGTGGCCCCCTAGATAGGGAGCTTCACCGAAAACCCCAGTGGAATGGTTCGCATGCCGCCCCCCGTCCACTTCGGCACACCAATTTCGTGGCCCCATAGAAAGCTCGACCGAAGGCCCCAATGTCCTGGTTCGCATGCCACCACCCGTCAGTTTGGCCAACCCCTCAGACGCTTCGTGGCCCCACAGGGAGCTACACAGAAGGCCCCAGTGGCATGGTTCGCATGCCGCCCACCCTACTTTGGCACACCCCTTACACGTTTCGAGGCAACACATCGAGCTCCACCGAAGGCCCCAGTAGCATGGTTCGTATGCCGCCCCCCTCCACTTCGGCACACCCCTCACTCGTTTGTGGCCCCACAGGGAGCTCCACCAAAGGCCCCAGCGGCAGCGCCTGCATGGGAGCCCCGCCCCATTTCGGCACACTCTTCGCGCCCGTGGCTCCAGAGGGAGCTCCACCGAATGCAGTTCTCGCAGCGGCGGTACTCACAACTGCATCTGGTTGGTTCTTCGCCAAGATCATTCTCCCTCCTGACGACCACCCTGAGACCCGACGTTGCGAACAAAACGCAACAACGCGAGCAAAAATCACGACCAGAGCCCTAGGCCCCACCATTCTGCGCACTTGTTTTGAGACACGGATCGATCTGTGATGGTCCTGGCCCCGGGGCCCGAGACGAAGCAAAATCGCCCGTTGTGGGAAAATATGCGACGCCAGAATTTCAGCAGGGACCGACGGTCCTGGCATCCTTATAGGAATACCACGACATGTTCTTAAAACAAAGAATGGTCGAACAACTAAGCAAACGTTCTTGGAACATAAAGCCGATGTGTTACAACCAAGCGGTGTCAGCCAGACATGTCCTAAGAACATTTCGCGCAAACCACCCAATGTTCTCTGAGAACATTGCTTACTGGGCCTATGGGCGAGCCAAGATTAAGTCGGGCCTGTCCTCCTACAGGGAGATTTGGACGAAAAATTAAGAATAGTCCAACAATACCCCCAAAGTGATCAAAACATATCCCCCCCCCAAAACAAATCGTCCCCATATCAATTGTGTTGACTGTCTTTGCATTTTCCTCATGCAGCGTGACCGGCCCGAAAGCCAAGACGCTTCGCCACTGCTTGGCTGTGGCCCTCCTCCGATCAGCCTTGTCGGCGCCGGCTTCGGCGCCAGCCGGCGGGGCGAAGGAGCGGCGACCGCAGTGCGCGCGGAGGGGGGGGGGGAGGCCTGTCGAGGCACGCGCCCCAGGTGTCCGGCGCGGAGTCCTGCCCGAGGTCGGCGAGCAACTCCAGGGCCGCCGAGAGCTC